ATGGCAGAAAAAGGGATTGAGTTCAGAGAGGTGAGATTTCCCTCTTTAAGCTCTCCTCAAATATTGGGTTCATTAGGGTCGTCAGCACACTTGGAAACAAGGCTGCTCCTCTGGAGAGCACTCCAGAACCCTGAACATTCAGTTTGCAGCAGTCAACAGCCACTGGGTGATAAATAAACATTGAAGAAGGAGGTGAGGTGGCCACAGTTCCCCTTTTGGGAAGGAGAATCTCAGCAATGCCCATCATGAGGTTTGTGAGGGTTTGCAGGTTTTTGTAGGTTCAAAAACATCCAATCTCTGTCATAGCCAGAGTCTGGCATATTCCTCTGGAATTACCCTTCCCAAAAGGCCAAATCCATCCTGCCTGCTGCAGGGTGACAGACACGGGCAGCCCCCGTCATCCTGCAAGCCAGTTTACCCTCAGCCAGTCCTAAATGCKGGTCTGGCTAAAACTCAGCGCTGTAGACTGGAAGGAAACCCCTTAACAAAGAGATCTGAACACGAAGCACTGATGTCCCTGGCTCTGATTGCACATTCTCCCACCTTCCTGACTGATTTTCTGGGGAGCATCCTCACCTGGCTGGAGCTCCAGCACTGCCCCACGCCCCCGTGTTCTTCCTTTAATCCCAATCTTCAAAGCCATCCCGAGCCCCAKCTCCTCATTAACCAATTAACACCTCATTAACACCATGCCCCCACGGTGCTTTCTGCTCTCCAMGCCGTGACTTTTAACCCCGTGGCGCACCGAGATTAATTTGTAATTTTCTCTTTAGATTTAACACTTAATTTTGAGCAAGAGGCACATCCCAACTCTCCAGCAAGGGCAGCGCAGCCCTGAGAGCGAGGGGGGAGACCTGGAGACACCAAAGGGAAAAAGGGGAAGAGGAAAGGGAAAAGGGAAAAGGGAAAAGGGAAAAGGGAAAAGGGAAAAGGGGCTGGCAGCTCAGATGACCACAGATGGCTCCCAAACCTCACGCATGGACACCCGAGCTCTGAAACAATTTAATCAGCCCAGAAGGATGCATGGATCAGAAAGCCAGCTTTTTAAATTTTTTTTAATTTTTCTTTTTGCTTCCATTTGGAGGAGCCCGGGCAGCGCAGCATCCGGCTGTGGGATCAAACAGGTTTAGCTTGTGCTCAATCCCACACTGATAACCATATCTTCAGCAGCAGCTTGAGTGGCCCAGCACCCCCAGGGACCTCTCCTGGGTGCCAGAGCATCTCCCTGTCCAGGAGCAGAGCACAGCAGCAAAAAGCTGTGCTGGAAGAGATGATTGCCTTGGAAAGGATAGACACAGAGTGGGGATGGTGGATGGAAGCCTTCCCTGCCTGGAGAAGAAAAGCCTTCTGGACCTTGTCTAGGATGGAGAATCGAGTCAAATGATCCACAAATATCAGAGGGATGTGCTCTGCCTCAGATCCACGTGAGGAGTCAGCACRCAGCACCCTGCCTGTGAATACCACATTGCTGTTCTTGTGAAATAATTCAGTGTCCCAGCAGGCACGAGGTGTCACACCTGGCCCTAAACCCTTTAATCGCCAGCAGCCAGCACAGCACACCCTCAACTCGCTATTCCTGGCCCCTCTCAGGCTGCAGGGACAGCCACAGCTCGGTGGGAAGTGCTGCTGCAGAGCCCATTCCTGAGCAGGGCTCACAAAGAGCAGGGTTCAGCTCTGCCTCTCCAAAAAAAGTGGAGAAACATCCACGGCCACAGCGTTTGCCACCTCAGCAAAAGTGTGCTGAGAAAAAAGAAGCAATCCCTGAAACTCGCCTTCAGCCAGCCAGCCATCCCTCCATCCAACCATCTATCCCTCCATCCAGGGGCTCTCCCCGATCCCAGATTCGCTGGTTTGGGGGCTCTCTCTGAGCCCAGACTCGCTGCTTTGGGGGCTCTCTCTGACCCCAGACTTGTTGACTTGGGAGCTCTCCCTGACTCCAGACTCGCTGGTTTGGGGGCTCTCTCTGACCCCAGACTCGCTGGTTTGGGGGCTCTCCCCGACCCCAGACTCGTTGATTTGGGGGCTCTCCCTGACCCCAGACTCGCTGGTTTGGGGGCTCTCCCCGACCCCAGACTCGCTGGTTTGGGGGCTCTCCCCAGCCCTGCTCTCTCCCAGCTGAACACACAGGAGGAGGTGCAGAGTCAGCCAAATTTGGGGAGCCAGGGCTGAGCATCCCAGCAGTCACAGGAGGCACCCCAGTGAGCAGGAGGGGCAGAGCCACAGACTGTCCTGCCCAGGAACATCTAACGGGAATCCAGCAGCCTTGGTAGAGTCCTGGGGAGCATCCCCACCTGTCACCTGTCCCTGTCACCTGTCCCTGTCACCTGTCCCTGCCAACTGTCCCAGCTCCACCAGCACCTCCTCACGCTCTCCTCACCCAGGAATGGGCACCCCAGTGGGGTTCCCCCATGCCCTGCACTGCTCACCTCAGGCTGTGTGTGGGGTACCAACCCTGCATGGGACCGTGGAATGGCTCAGGTCAGGAAGGACCCTAAAAACCATCCTGTTACAAACCTCTGCCATGGACAGGGCACCTCCCGAGTGCTCACAGCCCCATCCAGCCTGCCCTCAGACCCACGTTCACTCCCTCTTGTGGTTTTAAGCAAGTTGTGAGTTACCAAGGTCTGATGGGCAGAAGAGACACCTCGGTGTTGTCCCCACCCGGGTGACCGTGCCCCTGACAGGACACAGCCCGAGGGCACGGCCAAGTTACCACCTCAGTGTACAGTTAAAGTGCTCCYCTCCCTTTTAAGGCAACGTTATTGCTAAAATGCTATCGCAGGGATGAAGGGGAAGCGGAATTAACCCTAGTCTGAATGGGCTCTTTTGTCAGGCTCTGCGAGGCGCCGAGGCGTGAAAGCTTCCAGAGGAACCTGGGTGAACCCGAGCTGGGCGCTCACAGGGCCACTCACAGCCCTGACGTGATGGATCATCTTCATTTYGCCATTCCCCCACTGCTCACAGCAAATCCATTTGCTGGGCAATTAGACTCCAGTCATTACATTATGCTAAGGAGACGTTCCTTTGGCAGCAGGAGGGACCCCGGGCAGGAGAAACCCGGAGTGCTGCTGTCACATCCAGCAGTGCCACCTTCCCAGCCCCAGAAGTGCCCTCCAGCAACTCACCTGGCACGTGGAGCCCTCCAAAATACTTGGGATTAAGCGAAATGGCCCTTGGAATGCTTCTGCCTGAGGCAAAGAGCAGCAGGATAAAGATGGACAGTGGCTCTCCTGCAAACCCTTCTCCCAGGGGTGTTATCCAGCCCGAATTCCCAGCAGAACACGCAGCCATGGAGCTGCTGGCAGCTGGGATGGGCTCTCACAGAGCCCTGTCCTGCCTGTCCCATCACCATCCCCCTTCCTCCTCATCCTCCTCTCCTAAAATTCCCTGCCCAGCCCCGATCCCCTCCGCACTGTGCGTCTTCCCATTCCGTCTGGGTGAAATAACYGACTGGAGGGTCAGTCCACCTGAAAATTGCTCTCCCCAGACCTAAATGAAACAGATGGGCATTGATGATGTTTTGGGAGAAATTAATCAGCCTGGACCGGCGGCATCGCCAGCAGCTCCCTGGGCCCAATCTCGCCTAATGAATTCCGAGCTCTCTGTCTTAATAGCTCCTGACAAGACTAATTTACTCTTGTAAGTGATTAGAGGGGGAATGATCTCTTAATTGTTGCTTAAGATCCCTCTCGGCATGGCAGGCAGCAGGCAGGGAGCTGCTGGGTTTGGAGGGAGGGGATGCTGATGCTGCGGGGAGGGATGTCGTGGGAATGGGCACACAAACAGACCTCCAAAAAAACATTTGGGATTTTTTTTCTTTTTTTTTTCTTTTTTTTTTTTTTTTTTCGTGTATATTTTCTTTTCTTTTTGCTTTTTTTAAAGTTTTTTCCATTGGTTCCTCCTTTTTTTTTTTTTTTTTTTTTTTTTTTTTTCAGGGAACAGGCTACTGACACTCAGGATCTCAGAAAGGTGTTTCCAGATGCTGCCCCTTTTTCTTTTTTTTTTTTTTTCTTTTTTTTTAAAGTTAATAAACCTTAACTCAGGAAACACCTACCAACAGCAGGAAACACAGAAACGCTCTGTGTGTGTGTCAACACTTCCCAGGCTGACATTTCCCTCCGGTGCATCTGGAAACAAAATCCCAAGGTGCCAATATCCTTAAGAGTCAATTACATACATACACGGCGTAATACAAAGTTTTGAAAAAAAAAAAGAAATTCAGCTGCCAAAGCGATTCCAAGAACAACTTGACTCGCTGGAAAGCGGGCTGTAGGAAATCTCTCCCTATTTTCTGACAAAATAGAAGCTCAGTCCAATTCCCACCAGGTATTTCAAGCTCAAGGGCTTGGAGAGCAGGGAGCTCTGTGAGGAAGCACTGCCATTAMGCTGCTCCCAGCCAGTTCTCACTCCTGCTCCTTTCCCAGGGCTTCTCCTGAGGGTGCATCCCTGTGCAGAGCTCAGCCACCACGCAGCATCCTCCACCACCCACCCAAACCTGCCACCAACACCCCACATCCTGCCTGCTTGCTCAGACACCCCTCAAATCCCACAGGGATGGCAAATGCACCAACAAGAGCACTGGAGAAGGGGCAGAAAGCTCAGCTGGAAGCGCTGGTTGAGCTGAGCTGTGGCTAGAGGAGACCTCTCCTGGCTGCCCCAACCCTCTGGTGATGATGGGGGGCACCGAGAGTCCTTTTTTTAAGGAAGATGCTGTGGGGCTGCATGGCTGCAGGTGGGAGAAGGGACCTCCAGAGGCTCCATCACAGCTCCCCATTGATCCCTCCCGCATTACAGGCCAGTCACGAGCCCTGATTGAAGACCACAAGTTTAATGGACTGAGAGCTCGGGAAGGCGCCGAGAACGACCGGGTCGATTTCTGCATTTACTAAAAAACCGATCTTGGGCTAAATAAAGAAAGAAAAGCTCCACCTGCCCATCAAAAGAAAGGCTTTCCTTCCCCACACTTTTCCACTCCTGCCCACGGCCCGTCCCACACTCACCCACGGGCGTGTCCTCGTTGATCAGCAGGTAGGTGTCAAAGAAGTAGTTGGTGAAGTAGGGCAGGCGATTGCCCTGACCTGGRGAAGAGGACAAAAACGAGGAGTTATTGCCCTGGCACGGCTGGGAAAGGCTCGGGAATGCTCGGGCTGGAAAGGGGTGACAAGCTGGCAGAAGGACAGAAAGCACCACAAGGTCCCCCATAGCAGCTGGCAGGAATATCCTGGATTTGGTATTTCCCAAAAAGCAGAGGGGAAGKGAGAAGCCGGCAGCAGAGAGCCCAAGAACACCAATTATTGGTTTAGCCTGTGATTAATACCTCGGCTTGGTCCCCACGGCTCAGAGCGTTTCTCAGCCACTCCGGCAAACCCCCTGCGCTCCTTCCCTCGCCCTATTCCCTCTAATTTCCTCCTTTCACCTTGGACAAGCGGGCTGGGCTCCTCTCCACTCCCGAAGAGCTSCGAGCCTGCCCCGAGTCTCATTAGGGGACGGAGCCAAGTGCAGAGCACGCAGGAGAGGGACAAAGACAGCCCAAGCCAGGGCAGGAGGAACCCGGCAAAGATCCGGAGAGAGGCACACGGTGATTTACAGAAAGGGTTTGGCGTGTTTGGGATCCCACTGTTAGGAAAATTAATCCACAAGCACCAGAGGTTTATGTCCAAAAGGGAGACAGAGGAGTCCTGCAACTTTATTCATGAATAAAGGGAGAGGTCATGGGCATTTCCCATGGGGTCTCTCAAATTCATAGAGGACGCAGCCTCCTTTTATCCCAATTTCCCGGCCTCAGTTCCCTCTCTCTTTCCCCATTGGCTGAGGTACTTGAAAGTTACAGGGCCCCGAAACGCCTGATGAAACCCCCCCTTTTATCATACATTGCCCCCTTTCAATATCCATCTCTGTGTCTCTGCTCTTGTAGTCTATTAAAATAGACTGGGGTAAGCCAATCAGTAGAATTCCTATGGAAATCATTCCTATTGTTTCTTTCTATTTCCCAATATCAGCCTTATCTTACCCCCAGAGTCAGAGTCTGTTTGTAAAGACACTCCCTTCTCATTCCTTTCACCACCTTGCGGAACGAGACCCTTCAGCATCCCCCTTCCCCGAGCCCATCTCCCAAAGCAGGGAGATGCTCCTGGGACCTTTCAAACAATCCTGCTCCTGGGGACAGGGACAGAGGTGGGGGAGCAGCCCCAGCTCCCCCCAGGGCTGCCTCCACAACAAAACAGGGATTTTTTCAGTGTTGCCCTCTTTCCCGAGGCACCAGCTCGGTTAAACACCCTGAGAAACGGGGRAAGCACCAGAGGCAGCGCTGCTGCAAAGGCACATTTAAATCCCAGCCTCTGGAGTTAAGTGCCTGGAAAGAAAATAAGAAGGAACCTGACAAAAATGGGTTGTTTGAGAGCTGAGAGCATCTCCAGAGGCTTGGCACACACTCGTCACTGGCTGCCACACTGGGGCCAGCGGGCTCTGCGAGGGGCAAGTGAGGCTGAAACACCCCAAGCAGTCCTTGGCACACTTCTGCAAAACCTTTCTGTTTCAAAACACATTTTTTTAACGTTACCAGCAGGCTAAAAATAAGTTGCTCTTTCCAAACCCAGCTGCAGCAGGTGCTGGGAGGCTCCCAAAGCACCTGGCACACGGGATCTGTGTGTTCAGGGAGGAGGGAGACCAGCACCTGAGAGCTGGGAAATGCTGGGAGAGGCTGCTTTGGGCTGAAAATCCCAGGAAAAAAAAAGCTGGAATTTCCTACTGAGAGATTGCCACGGGTTATACCCTGGGATGCACCATCCCTAAAACCCTCAGCACAAGAATGGCTCCCCCCAGTACAGCAAGGACCTGCTGGAGAGAAGCCAGAGGATGCTGAGAGAGYTCTGGAGCCAGGCTGGGAAAGCTGGGGGTGCTCAGCCTGGAGAAGACAGAGCTCCAGGGAGAYCTTAGGKGAGGAAAATCTCTGSTCAYCTCCTGCAGCAGCAGCCAGGGAGGAGCAGGGAGACTCCAGCACCAYGCCAGAGCTAAACCATCCCCCTTCCCAACATCCTGACCCCACTCAGGCTCCACATCCCMGCTCATCCCTTCACCGGGAGCTGTGCAAACCTTCCTGGAAGAGCTGCTCCATCACCTGCAGCGCCCAGGGTGTGTGGGGCAGGGCATCCATGCATTTATCCCAGTCCCAGGAGCTGTGCCAGCACTTGTTTGGCACGGAAATGGCAGCCCAGGCCCTGGGCAGGYTTTGGGAGAGAAGGACTGGAACGCTGCTGAGCCTCCAAATCCCCATTTCCATGCGCTGCCTCTCCCAGGCTTGGCAAGGAAGGAGCAAGTCCCCACCATCCCACTTCCAACGGGACAAATGCCCTCTGGAGGGGGGTTGAGGCCTTTTACGATTGCCTTTTTTCCTTCTTTTCCCCTTTTCCGCCCCAGCGAGGYTCTCCTTGATCCAACGCGACACCAGAGGGAGATTGACTGCGCCTGTCACTCACAGCCAATGTCATCCCCTGACTGCTTAATCAGCCTGCCAATCTGGGCAAGCCATCTCCAGCCTTCAGCAGGGCAAAAAAAARRGGGAAAAAAAAGAGCTTTTGTTCCAAAGGGCACGGTGCTATCAAATGGACACACGTTGGCCATTGTTTATCAGCACCAGCCACACGGGCACCTTCTCCCCACACCAGCACCAGAGGGTTTGGGACAGTCACACAACAATCCCAATTTCCACGGGGCTTTGCTGTTCATTTACAGCTCCTCTGCACCTCGTGATGTGCCAAAGCCTGTCCCRAAAGGCACATTTTCTACACCAAAAGGCCGCTGTGCCACCAGCTCCCTGCCAGAAAAGATGCAGAGGATCAGTGGGAAGAGCTCACTGTGGAGGCTCTTCTGACCCACAGCYCTGCCTTTCCCCCCATCTGGAATGAGAAAAGAGGTTTTTACAGCTTGGGCAGGAGTTGTTTCCCACCAGCATGTATGAAAGCAGTTTGCTTTATTTAATCATTTTAAAAATATTTAAATCATGTAAATGAAAGCAGAGGGGGAACTCTGCTGCTAAACAGCCAACGAGCTCCTGGTCTGCATCCCTGCTGTGATCCCTCCCTCTCTCCAGCTTTCCTTAGGCTTTATTTATGCAAACTGACCCAGTGCCAGCTCCACCACCAGCTCTGGACTCTGGAAGTTCCAAACCRACCAGGACACACCAGGAGCATCCACCACTGCTGGGTTCACCCTCCTCCAAGAGTTTTTCCAGTTCCACCCACTCTCTCCCGAGAAGGGCCATCAGATGCCACCCGAGCAGCCAGCAAGGACTGCAGGAAAAGGGGCAGCACCATGTGCAGGTGCCCAGGACTTCACGGGATGGAAGGAGACAGATCTGCACACCCAGAGCAGCCATATGGCCCCTTGTCCTAGGTTAGCTGAGTATTGTATTCCTATCATCTGCTTATGTTAGAGGAAAGTTAAACAACCCTTCTGGAACTATACATTMRTYGAGACTGCTCTGGTTTGTTTGGTGATGTYCCTCCCTTCAAGGACAATGGGAGGGAAAGGGACAAGACACACAGGTTTGGTTTTTTTTTGTTTTTCCTGGGGAGGCTCTCAGGATCAGCGGTGGAAAAAGAAACTGCCTGCTCTCTGGGACTGCTCCTTTTTTCTCCCTTTCTTTGGACTTGTTTTTCCTCGAATTTTTTTTCCATCATCTGAGAATTGGAGGATTTTTTCCCGTGGCACGACAGGTGAGAAAGATCCTTCAGTGAACTATCAGAGAGAGACTCTGTCCAATCCCTCTGGGGGCCCCGGAGGGGAAGCCACTCCCAGGAGGGGAGAGGAAGGCTTTGGGATCTAACAGCTGATTCCACAGGTTTTCTTCTTTTTGTTTTTATAGTTTTAAATAAATAGGTTTTTTCTCCCTTTTCTTTTCACTTTCCTCTCTGTGGAAAAGTTTGTCTCTAGGACCCGGGTGGGGAAAAGAGAGGGGGAGAGGTTTGCTGGAACTTGGGAGTGTTTTGCTCCCATTAAATTCATTCAAACCACGACACCCCTTTATGGCACGCATCAGGACGCCACCAACGCAGCCACGGTGGCCTCTGCAGCTGGCAAACACAGCCCCAGGCAGGGAGGGAGCAGGASACACAGACTCACCCGGACAGACCAGCTCCAGCAGCAGCAGGAGAGGCAGGAAGCCGCCAGCAGCAGCCCAGGGACGCTCCATGGCTCCTGTCAAACAAGAGAGGCAGTGTCAGTGTGACAGATGTCACCTCRTCCCCCTCAATCAGCCTSGAGGTGCAGCCCTGCCCCATTYCCCGATGCTGCAGGGGACACCTTTYCAAACATCCTCTGCCCATGGAAACCAGGATGAACCCGGGGGATGTTTTTCTCCCCATTTTTTCCAGAAGTTTGACCCAAAATCACAGGAAAGGCACCAGGATTGGGGAGCAGAGCCCCTCACAACTCCCTCACCACCTGGCTGGCTGCCCACCATGCCCTCTTCCCTCTCTGCCTCCCAAATTCTCCACACAGRCTGAGGAAACAGAATAAAACAGCACCAGGGAGCTGCCAGAACTGCCTGACCCTCACCTGGCACCCAGACCATCAAATCCAAAGCTCCCACAGGAGCTCCGAAGCAATAGCTGCACCTATTTTATTTTTACTGATGGATGTGTCAGGGAAGACAGCTCGTGACAACTCTATCACCACAAAAAGGGCCTGAAATTCTAATTTCTCCCGCTATTTTGCTAYGGAGGGTCTCTGGGATGWAGAGGTCTGTGCCTAGACAAGAAAAATGGTGCTTTGCTGTGTTTTGTTCATCTTTAGGAATCTCAGTGCAAGCCTGAGAAGACACTGAGGTGTCCACCTCCCCAAAAAACAGTCAGGGCACAAGAGTTTAAATCTCCACCCCATAACTTCTGAGCACTCACTCTGTGTCAGCAGAGCATCCAAAAAAAAAAAAAAAACCAACCAAAAAAAACCAGTTTCTGAATAAAAATTAGGAGTTTCTAAATAGAAATCACATCCCCAGGAGCCAAGCATCCTGGAAAGTCCTTTAAATCCTTAGATTTGCCCAAAAARAAGCAGAATAAAGAAAAAAATCACTATGTTTMCCCCACTTTAACAGGTTTTGGGGAGGAAGAAATCTCAGAYAGCATCACTCTTGAGACTCCTGCATCCAGCATKGAACACAGATGAGCTATGAGCTGAAATGAGCTCCTCTGCCTTCAGCAGTGCCAAAATGCCACTGAGGAAAAGGCTAACTTCYTTCCCAAACAGCACCTCTATCAGCCCAAGTGAGCGTGAACATTATTTTCCAGCTTCACAGCCCACATTTGAAAAGCAACGGGGCAGCGGAGAAACAATTTAGGTGATGCAGGAATAAAAGCAGCATCCCCCTTTTGGAGTGCCACGACAAATCCAGACATTGGGCATTCCAAGTCAGTCACTTCATCATGTAAGTAATTGCCTGAGATGTCATTTTGATTTTCCCAGTCTTCATTAACACTGCAGCTCTTCGCCACAGCTCACTCGAACGTCGCCAATTCCACGAGCGGGGTCGAGAAGCCTCTGGGGAGAACTTAAAAATTGTGACTGAGAGYGGGTTAAACTGCACCTTGAGCCTGGAAGAGGCTCTTTGGAGGGAGCTTTTGGTGCAATTTGCAGCACGGGGAGGGCAAGGCATCCCTGGGAGCTCGGCTGCAGAGTTTGCCCACCCAAGGCACACGGAGCCTCGAGAAGCTGAGGAAACACCACAGCACCAACAAATCCGGGGTTTCAAAGTTCAGCCATCAACTCAGAGGTTTCCCAGCTTGCTTTCCACAAATGCCTGCTCCTTTCCAAGCCGGAAAGTGGCTCTTTTTCTGTCTCAGCAGCATCCCTAAATGYGGCAAATCCCAGCAGAGCCTCTCCTGGCTCCTCATCTCTGTGGAACTCCAGAGTGGGAAACGCTCCCTCTGCTCCAGCCTGGGCTGTGGAGTGCTTTGGGGTGCCTAAACAGAGAATTTCGGGCTCTGCACCTGGATGGGTTTATTTCATAACCTGGATGGGTTTATTTTGAAACCTGGACAGGTTTATTTTGAAACCTGGATGGGTTTATTTTGAAACCTGGATGGGTTTATTTTGCGCAGCTCTGCACACGCACAAAACATTTCATTGCCCCCGCCAGAGCCCGGCTGGCAGAGCTGCTGCTCCACACTGGCATCTTCAATCATCCCCAGAACCCCTGTCCCCTCTCCCTGGTCTTCCCTTCTCCAAAACATCACCACGATGCTCAGTGTCAAAATTTACAATTCCAGCCCCTCCGTTTGTCCAGCGGCACGGAGGAGAAATTAAAGTGTGAATCAAAGCATCCCCTGAGCAGCTTCTGCACAAGCCTTCCCAAAAAAAAGCCTTTTTTTGGGTGATGGAACACCAGGGGTGCCCCCAAAGAGGGCCAGCACTGCCCATCCACAGGGTTTGGTGTGGCAGGGGGGGTGGCAGCAGGACACCAGGGTACCTGTGYCACCCCCAGAGCTGCTGGAGGTGCCTGCTCTGCCTGCTCTCCCAAATCTCCTCCATCGCTGTGGCCACCTTGGAAGAGCAGACAGGAGATGGTCCAGCAGGGACCACCACCAAAAACACCCCAAAATCCACCCCAGCATCCCCAGCAGCCAAGCACATTGCTCAACAAACACAAACCCTCACATCAAAAATAGCCCCTCCTGCTCTCCCAGCTTCCCTCATCCCTCTGCTCCTCAAAAAAAAAAATTCACCTTTTCTTATTATTATTATTGCCTCTTAGCCAGGGCTTTACAATAAGTAGGATTCAAAAGGAAAAAAAAAATTACAAGCTTATTCAGATTTTTTTTTTTTATTATTCCCACCCCCATATTGGCGTGAGCCATACCCAAATCATAATTCCCAAAAATAAAGAATTGCAGAACAGGGTAATCAGAAGTAAATTGATATTGATAAATAAGCTTTTCTCCCGTGCGGTAGGTGGTTTATTTTAATCTAATGAGTTTTATATTTTCTGAGCTTTCAGATTCCATGATGAAGAGCCGTCCACGCCAGAATTACAAAGCACTTTGAAATATTGTAATTTTATGGCTCATTTTGTCAGGACTCTTGAAAATGAGATTTGTTCCCAGTGAAAAAATTTGCCCCCGCCCCCCCCAACCTTTTTTTTTTTTCTGCCCTTTTCCATTCCCTGCGGTGAAGGGAAATAAAATTTCCCTGTTAAATAAATCCAGGCCAGGATATTGGTGTGCACATGGGAGGGGGAAAATGTTCCCCTTCACCCCAAAATCAGAGCTGGGGTTGGAGACAGGGACGTTTTCTTCCCACAAATCTCCACGATTCCCAGCTGGGGTCCTCAAATCTTTCTTTTTCCACAAAAAAAAAAAAAGCTGGAGCTGGTCCTTATCAACAGCTACTAACACCCAAAAGTTTCCCAGACTTCCAGCACTCTAAAACAAGGACAGCAGTGGAAGTATTTTCTGGGGTCTTCGAGACATTTGGTTTCTCACAGGAAACAAACATCAGCTGCAAAATGACATTAAATCACTCAAAAAACCACATCACTCCAAAAAAACCCCAGGCCCAGAAGGAAATGCCATCTTTAAACTTCGCAGGAAAGCTGTGCCTGGGCTGGGAATGGYGTTGGTTTTCCAAGATAATCCCAAAAACTAGAAATGTCATCTCTAAACTTCTCATTTCATGCAGGAAAGCTGTGCCTGGGTTGGGAATTACGTCGRTTTTCCAAGATAATCTCAATAATTACCCAACTCTGCATGAGCAACACACAAACCCTACACCACAACCATGGCATCTGCAAGGAAAAATCAAAGAATGCATCCAGCTCAACTTCTACATCTGTGGAAAATGAAAACAACACCCTGTGAGCTTTGGGAAGAGGGTCCCCATTCCCTGCTGCACCAGCCACCACCACCCACCCCTCCACAGTGAGGGCAGCATCATTTTTGGGAAGACAGGAGCAGAAATTCCCAATTTATTGATTTTCAAGTGGGGCAGCACTGCTCTGAGGAGTCTCCAGCCCTGGTTKCTAGTCACCTCAGGCATCGTAGCAACCATTTTCCATCACAAAACCTCAGTTCAGCTGGAAGAGCAGCTCCTCTCAGCCTGGAGGAAGGCTGGGATGGGGCACAGTCCGAGCCAGCACCAACACGTGGAAGCAGCACAGCCAAGCTGAGRAGCAGATGATGCTAACGTGGGATGAAAACGTGGAAAAGCAGCCAACAGCAGCAGAGCTTGGCTCAAAGGAAAGAAAAAAGAGGGAGGGAAAAYGAAGAGGAGGGGGAGGAAGGGTGGGAATTCTTGCTCTGGGAGAAAGTGGAAAGCTGAGTGAGGTGAAGTGACACACAAAGTCTGGTCTCAAGAGGCAGGAGCCTCTCTCCAGGCTCTGAAAAAGCCACACAGGAATAGGCAGAGTGGGAAGTGTATGGATGCTGAGGGTCTGATCCAAGCCTGCTCGGGAAGGGGATGCCAAACTCTTTCTTCTCGTGCCCTGCCTGGAAGGGGAAGGTTCCCTGGGACCCAGGGCAGGCAGCAGCCTGGCTGAGCTTCCAAGCACTGCCATCAAAATGCTGCAGGAGGAGTGCCCAACATCCTGGGGCTCCCACACACGGCTCCTGAGCCTGTTTGTGCTGCTGGCACCCACAGATCCTGGGGGATCCCACCCCGATCCCGGCTCCAGGCACGTGAGCTCTCAGCTCGGGGGCATTTAAGGGAAAAAAGGAAAATGAGATGTGTGTGAAGTGGGATTAAAGGGGGAAAAGTGTGTGTGCTGGCAGGGACTGGCTGGGCACCTCCCTCCTTGCCACGTCCAGGGGCAGCTTTCGAGGTGAGCACCCCCTTTGTGCAGCAGGAGGGAGCGGGGTTCAGGCTTTGCCCCAAGCTGTTCCCCCATAAAAATAAAATAAATTCAGCATCAGCCTCAAAAGCAAATCAGTGTCAGGACCACCAGCTCTCCCCAGCCAGGCACCAAGGTGCATTTTAAAGCCTGCCAAAGGACATGGGTGAGTTATTTCACTCGATCTCCCTTGGTGAGGACTCAGCAGATGCCCCTCCAAGCCCAGAACCCGGATCTTGGGATTKCATCCCCTCTCCCCACTTCCAGCTGGCCCTAAACTCCAGGCTGAATGTTTGCAACACGAAAAAAAAGCAACAAGGCTGTTGTACACAGGCCCCTGATGACTGGAATGGGAGATTTTACAAACACAAGGGAAAATGAATGCTTCAGAAGAAGGGGAAAAATATCATAATTGTAGGAAATTCCATGAGAAATCTTCACACTGACAAGGCACAAAGGCTCTGGGGCCATTTCTTGCCTCATCCAAATCAAGAGGGAAGTGTTCTTGCTGCTCCCCAAGCTCACTGAACTTCCAGCCAGGAGCACTGGGCTGCTCCAGACCTTTCCAATGCCTGCTGGCTGATCCAAGTGATAAAAGAGAAGCGCTGCCCGATTGAGCAGCACCGGGGCTCATCACCCACTGGCTGCAATTGGAGGGGCAAGAGGGGAAAAATAGAGACAGCACAGGGAAAGGGAGATGGGGACACTGAAGAGGAACCCCCTCGAAATCCCTGGATTCCAAACAGCAGCCCTGGAGAGCGGGGATTGAGAGGAGAGACCAAGGTGTGCKGCAGGGATGAAGTTATTGGGATTAATGACAGCAGCTCATCACCAGCGACAGGCTCATCCATGCGAGCACTCCTGAGACCCCTGGGGAGCCCTTGGAGCTGCCCAGCCCCTCTCCCACTCCAGCCTGGCCTTGGRCACTGCCAGGGATCCAGGGGCAGCCACAGCTTCTCTGGGCACCCTGTGCCAGGGCCTGCCCACCCTCCCAGGGAACAATTCCTTCCCAATATCCCATCTGAACAAATACCTCCTGCCCACATTGAAACATCCAGCTCGGCATAGCCCATGGATAAACATTACTCCAACCCCTGCCACAGCATCCTCATCTTTCCCAAACCACCCGCAAGATCTGGTGAGTCTAAACCACTGGAATTCCCAATTTCTCCCCATTTCAGCTGCAGAATCCACACACGGGAACAGAGTCAGATAACACCAGCACAAACGTAGGATTTTTCACATTTGTAGGTCTTGGGCAACAAAAGCCCCAAAATAACCCTATTTCTCCTGCAACATTATTAGAAATCTTACTGGAGGAGGTGGGACACCGTAATGGGGAAAAACCCAGAAGTTTTAGGTTGCCCATGGAAGAATTTTTGCTCCCAAATCAAAGCTCCAGCTCAATTAGCCCGGCTGCAATATCCTGGAGCAGCTGGGGTGTTTCACACCCTCACAAGAGACCACAGCCCCCCTCACAGAACCAATCCCATATCCTAAAGCTTCTTAAACTCAAAAATAATCTGCGCTCCAGACCATCTGCACAGAACACCTAAGAAACTTCACAATCCTTTTTAAGAGGTCCTCTCCCCCTCAGCTGCTCCAGAGAGGGGGGAAAGGAGGATTRCAGGGCCCTTTTTCCTTGCACCACCCCACGGGCATCCTCTGGGGTGCAGGAATGGTCCTGGGGCTGCACCCAGGTGATATTCCCGGCACAGGAACCTTTCCCAGGATCGGCCACAGCAGCCAGGGCGGCTCCCACCTCTTCCAAACATTGTTGCTCCCGCTTATCACCAAAAAAAAAAATAAATTAAGAAGAAGGGAGAACATAAATTTTTACAGTTTCCCACACAGATAGTGTTTTACAACTCGGTCTCTCGGTCTTAAAAGACAACATTGTATTTTTCGTGACACATCCTGACTTCTGCTGAAACAAGAAGGCTTTGTGCCGGGAGAGAGGGAGGGGGCGGTGAAGAAAAATGGAATCGCACCGGGATTTCTCCTCCCCTCCTTCCCCAGGACAGGCGAGAAGGAGAGACAAAGGTAAAACTCCCTCAGCCGAAACAACCACCTGGATTTCCACAAACGCCAGAATCCCATRGGAACACTTTATCCCCGGCCCCCAATAAAATAAATTTTAAAATCTCCATGCACGAGTTCTGTTCCACATKCAGGAGGCATCCCAGGATCCTGCAGGAAGATCCCGGGAAGGAKCCAGGCTTGTGTGAACCTCGGCAGCTCCCGATCCTCTCCTGCCCGGAGAATCTGCTGCCGACGCGGCTTTTCCCCCAGCACGGGGGGRAAAAAAACCSCAAACCGACAGCAGAGAAARCACACAGCGCAGAAAATGTCCCATTCCAGCATTCCCGTCCTCCTAGAAAGCACTGATGGGTAAGAGAGCAGCCTGAGGAAACGGCAGCAAGGTGGGCAGAACATGTGTTTGAAGAAAAGAGGATCGCAGGCTTTGGGAGGAGACGGAGGAAAGCAGCGGCAAAAAGGAATCGGGGAGGGGGGAAATAATCTAAAGTGCTTTCTCAAAAGGCTCAGGGCGAGCTCGGCGTTTTAAAACGCTGCCCTCCCGTTTTAGCGAGGCTCGGAGGATTTAAAAATCCCACCGCTCGCACTGCGGCTCAGCCCCCACGCGCGGCTGCGGCGCTCCCACGGCGGGGAAGAAGTTCAGCCCCGGCTCATCCCAGAAACTTTGCAGCTCCACGGCAGCCCGAACTCCGAATCAGAGCCGGGGATGGGGTGGGGATGGAGCACGGTGGCTGCTCYCTCGGGGACGGGACAGCGGGTGCATTCACATTCACAGCGCTRTTTTTGGGAAAAGGGGAGAAAGGCTGGGCTCCCCCTCTCCTGCCGCGGAAACCACCGCGCCAAGCGAGCCCCCTGCCCAAAATAACCACAATAATGGCAGGGCTCACCCCYCCAAAAAACCTGTCCGCTTGGTGAAAGGTGGTTTGGGAAGGGGGACCCCGCGCAAAGCCGCCCCCCGGGGCAGGGAGGGGGTGACGGCAGCGCCCCCGCGCACCCTCCTCGCCCCCCATCGCACCCCTCGCATATGAATAAACCCAGAAGCCATGAGGAAAAGCGGCGGGGCATTACCTGTGCTGGATGTTTCGGAGCCCGGTGTCAGCAGCGACCCCCCATGCCCCCCCCCGCCGCCCTGCGAGCCGCGTGAGCGCCGCGGGAGAAGGAGGAGGAGGAGGAAGGGGAGGGAAGGGGAAGGAGCGCGGGAGACACTGACGCGGGCGGCGCAGCGCCCCTCGCCCAGGTACTCGGGATTTCAGCGCCGGCTCCACCTCCCCCCCTCCTGACCCCTCCCTGGGGACTCCCAGCCGCCCCAAASCCCGGGCTCGCCCCCCAAACCCCGGGCTCGCCCCCCACTCAGCAGCCGCCTCCTCGAATCCAACTCCAGCCCGAGGCGGCGCCGGCTGCTGGAAGTTTAACTCAGCCTCGGCGGGTTTAATTTTTTTTTTTTGTTTTCTCGCTAATATCGTCGTTTCCCTGACCTCTGTGCGGGAGCAGCTGGCAGGGCCCGGAGCATGTAAATCATAGATGAGCGGGAAAGCGATCCGGGCGCGGCGTGCCAGGGGAGCCGCACGCAGATCCCGCTCCCGAGCTGCTCTCCCGGCCACCTCGGCTGCCACACACACGCTGTGGGATCTACCGAGCTTCATTTCCCCCCAAACCCTTCCTCCCCCAACCCCGTGTCCTCCCGGCACCCCTGAGGACACTCCGGCTCCAGTCCGAGCCCTCCCTCCCAGCAGCTTTCGGGAAAATGGCCAAATCCCGCTGTTTCACCCCGTTTCTTGCCTTCTCGGGAGCAGCAGAGCCGCACAAAGCCACCTGCGGTGACACCAGTCCCCACGGCCAAGGGGTAATTCCATGTTCCCGMATCCCAGGAAGGGGCAGGGCTTTGGCCTCCCAGCACCACGTGGGGCTTGGGGGAGCTTCGCCATCCCGCTGGACCCCATCACGAGCAGTTTTGGTTAAAATCTAAAGAAGGGCAGTCTGTGCTGCTAAAGCCCATCCCGGGATGTTGCTTGGGAATCACAGAACCCCAGAAGGGTTTGGGTTGGAATGGGACAGTAAAAATCGTCTCGTCCTAACCCTCTGCCATGGTCAGCACAGCTCCCGCTGTTCCAGATCGCTCCGAGCCCTCTCCAAGCCCGCACCAAACCCTCGCAGGGATGTGAGCGCCCTTCCCCTCCGCTCACCTCCCGGAGCACCGCGGGGAACGCCTCGGCAGGAGCGGGACGGGGTCAATACTCCCCGGCTCTCTGGAGCAGCTTCTTCTCATTTATTCAATTAGCACAGCTCGGGGGTTGATTGGCCGCAATTGGGCACAGGGCTGCTCCTGGCGCTCCCGGGGATGCGGAGATTCCCCCACAGACCTGCGGGCGCTGTGCCCCCCAGAGCCAGCCCTGGCACACCTGAGCTGCTTTGGGGCTGAACCCCCAAATCCCTGCCCGGCAGGGGAATGCAGTGAGCTCTGTGTTGTTGGTTAAGGCAGAGCGTTCCTCACTCACACCTGGGCTGCGTTGGGTTCCTCAAGGAATTGGCAGCGATTGCTGGCGCTGCCCTGGGAGTCACCAGGAGGGCAAAGGGGGGAGGTGCTCCTCGTTTGGGGCTCTGAGCCACTTGCTCGGGGAGGCTTCATCACCTCCTCATCATCACCCAACAGCGTGCACAGAGCCAGGATGMTCCCGCTGTGCTCACCCCACAGTCAGGGAGTAAATGAGGGGAAGAGATGGCAAAAAAAATGGGGAGGAACCAAAAGCAAACCCTACGTGCAGGCACGTCTGAAGCCCGGGCTGCTCCAGCCTCACGCAGGTGATGTCTCACTCAGTATCTCTCCTGATAAATTCAGCTCAGGGTTTCTGTTTAAACAGGAGCACACCTCTCCCGTGCCAGGCTCCTCTGCCTTGGCTTCACCCCGTGGATTTCTGCTCCCATCCCTGCTGCTTTGGCTCCCTGTCAGCTCTGACAAGGTCGAGCTGTTCCTGCTCTGGAGATCTGGCTTGGGGTCCCAGTCCCATTTCTGGTGCAACACAGGCTGCAGCCTTTCCCATCGAGGAGGAGAGGGAGGGCTGGTGGGATTGCAGTGCCTGGCTTCACAGAACACGCAGGAATTCAGTGTCTTGTGATCTGCACCTCCCTGTCAAGCTGGGTTTAAATCAGRCAGGGCCAGCAGTAGCTGTGTGCGGGCTGGACCCCAAACCAGCTCGCTGAGCTGATGTTCCCAAGCTCCTGYRGRKAGAAAGCCATGGTGCTCCGAGCCCMARCCTGTCGGGGATGTGCCTTTTAACAGGCTCAGAGCTGGGAAAAGGAGGAAAGAGAAGGAAGCGAGGCATTGTGAGCAGAGAGATGCTCCCAGTTGCTGCTGGGATCATAACTAACACCAAAACCCAAAGCAGGGAGCTGCAGGGAGCACCTCCCTGCTATCCCAGCCTTTCTCCAMAAGCTCATTACAGGGAAACCTGATTTTTTTGGAGGCAGATCCTGTGACCTCCCCTCTCCATCCTGCCTGTGAGCACAGAGCAGCTCAGCAGAGCCTTTCACAGCCTCCTGGCACCACTTGCTCAACCTTGAAATTGTACTGCAGGGCTTCTCCCCCCATCATTTTCCACCCAGCCACGGAGCATTCCCACACCCAGCTCTCCCCACAGCTCCTCACTCCTCTGCCTGCCTTCCCCTGCAAGAGMTGGGGTCACTGTTTGTCTCTAAATAGATGAAATATCACAGGGGAAGTGTGTAAAATATAGACACGTGCAAAACCCTGCACTGAATTATCTCTGCTCGCCATGGACCACGCTCTGCTGTGGGCTCCAGGATCTGCACGGGCATCGCTCCCTGACAACCAGCCCGTGTGACATTGGGCCATCAGTCATTCCTTCAAGCCTCCTGTTCCCCAGGAGTCTCCAACAATTGTCCCTGGAAGTGTTTCCCAAACT